CATTTTTTTATTCAACTATTACTGATTGGAATAATCTTCCAGAGTCAGTTATTTGTCTTTCTTCTTTTATGTCTTTCAAAACAGCCTTACTTCAGTATCTCTTCCAGTGAAACGCTTGTCAGTTAAGTATTTATGCTTGTTCTTTTTTTGTTTTTGTTTTTTTAAAAATTTTTCGTTTTCATTTACTACTTCTGGTTCTAATCTTAGTTGTCTTCTTTATTTTGTTATTTCTTTTATTACTATTTTGGTGTTGTTTGGCTTGAGTCATTGTTGTTACAGGTCGGTGACCTTTGATGACTCTCACTTTTCGTGAATAAACAATCTTAGTCTGCTATTGGTCTTGTTCATGTAAAAGTCAATTTTTACGTAAGTCCGTAACGTTTTGTGAAAATCGCACCTGCAAAACCAATGGCTACTCATAAAATTTTCATTGATATCAACTATAACCAGTGAATTATTCAACAACAACAAATCTGAAACATAAGAAATGCCAATTACGAAAAAATATCTTTGTAGTAAATGGAGACGAGAAAGACAGTTGAAACAAACTTCTGTTACTAATCAATCGCTTCTTTAATCTGGTGTAGTTTCTCTAATAAGATAAAAAGGAAATTCAGCAGTATTTTCTTTATTATAACTAAAGAATAAAACAAAGGAAAGTACCTATGAATTGTAATAAGAAAAACAAGAGAAACGACTGTCTGTCACTCTCATCGTCATATGAATATTGTTCATTTTTTATGACATAACACTAATAAATAGTTTTCCTCTTCTGAACTATATATGTAGCACTTTTCAAAGATATACTCCTATATCTTTCTTATGCTATAACAAAAACATCTTATGTGACATGCTTTATTCATTACCAAATTATATTAGTTAATCACTTCTGACATTCTTTGTGCACTGAGATAAAATAATATTAGACTAAGTTGTGTAGCCTTTTACGCTCTTCTCTATGTCGTTGTACTAGATGATATGACAAACTAGAAAATAAATGTGAACTTCAAGATTAAATGAGTAGAGCAAAGAAAGAGAGTCGGTTCAATTGCATCTAAAGTTTCTCCATTAAAACGTTCTACTCATCGTACACGTGCACTTTGATTGAAAAAACAGACCGCTTAGCAAAATATTCTCATTATAAAGACGCAATATCGGATAGTTTGGGGAGTTCCTTTACATTACAACTAGAGCAAGTTTGCCTCCAATAGAGTAGAGCAACTGCACTCTTCCAAAATAGTACGGTAAATGTGCAACAATGTCATGCTGAAAGTGTGACAATGTTACGGTAAAACATAACATTATCATACTTCTAGCATGACATTGTTACCCATTTACCGTAACATTACGGGAAAGTGTGAAGCATATTGTATCGTTTGAACTTGTTTAAGCAACTTTTATTTGATAGTTGTTTGGCCAATTAGATTTTATGAACTGGACATTCGTAAGATCGTCTTTATTTGGTGTATAAGTAATTAAAGTGTCAACTGACATTTCTTGAAAGTTTTACCTTATTTAATTTTTCTTTAATTCGTTTCAATAATGAACGTTAGTTTCTTAGGGCTTAGATTGTCGATAAAAGAATCTAATAATTTTCCGAATAAATTTCTACACTCATGGTAGAATTTTTATTTAATTTAATTTACAATTGTAATTATTGGTTTATGATTTCCTCAACGGTAAAATTTAGATTTTAGTAGGGCTAAAAGCAGTAAGAAAATAAATTTTTCTAAGATTCTAAATAGCTAGCTACTCGCACAAATGTATGTAAATATAAGTAAAGAGATTAGAAATTTCGAGAAGAACAGAAAAAGCAATGGCACAAAGTCGGATTTAAAACATAAACGTGCTAAAAATACTTTAAGCTCTCTTAGTTCAAGGTGATAGCACATGTGATAGTGAGCGAGTTTTAATATGCTTTTTTTCTTACTGATTATCGATCCGCGCCGTTATTGTATTGCTAATATCAAATTTGAGCTTAAGACACTATTTAAATTTGAAAAACTATATGCACATAGCAGAAAATTATTTGCTGTCTTCAATTGCGTTATTACAGATTGCAGTACTCGAAAAAGTAAACAACTTATTTTAACTCGTATCTTTCTCTTTAATTACCTTTTGGGCAATGATAACATTAGCTGGACTTCGCTAGGTTGAGAATGTATTTAGAGACATAGTCTCTCCAATTAAGAGTAAATGCATGGCAGTGGAGATATCAACTGATAATGCAACAGATATTTAACATGGATATTTAAATTGAGTGATGAATGTTCTGAACACTTTTCAATTTTTACTACAAGTAACTTTTTTCTCCTTAAATTAGTAGAGAAGACTTTGACCAATTTTTTTATTATTTGTATACCTTTTAACAAAATTTTTTGAGTATAATATTATCTCTCTCTCATTTACTATATGTATATATAATTTATACGCTATTCTTTTTCTTCTATATGAACATTTCAGATTTTGTTTTGCAAAGGAGATTTCATTATCTCACCGAAAATGAATTCTTCAGACTATACTAGTTCGGAGAATATTCAAACTACTACCAATGGTACCGATAGTACGAATCAAAACAATTCTTTATCGCCATTAGATCGACGAAAACGTGCGTCAAATTCGTCTCAATGTGAAATTCGTATATTGATGACATCAAAAGATGCTGGCGCGATCATTGGGAAAGGTGGAAATTCCATACAAAAATTACGTTCTGAGCATAAATGTACAATTCAAATACCTGATTGCTCATCTCCCGAACGAATATTGATTATATCAGGTAAAAATATGATTTAAAAGATAAACATGAAAGAAATTCGTTTTTCTGTTATAAAGAGATAAGTGTTGTTTTTCTTCAGAATAGCCAATTTAGTGGAAAAGTGTCGATATTTCTGGATCTAAACTTTGGATAAGAGCTTTGAACAACTAAAGATCCGTTTTTTGAATATTGGTTCTTATTCTGTTAGTAGATACTGATACCCTGAGATATGCTAGGAAGCGCATATTTTTTCTCAGTACTTTAGCTATTGTCTGTTTATTAGGTGATTATGAACAGTGTTTTGATTGTCTAAAACAAGTTGTTCCAATTTTAACTGATTTATTCCGTTCATCAAATTCTCGTCGACGAAATTCAGGAAGCGATCAACAACAAAAAACTAATAGTAATAATACTAATGATGAAAATTCAATTTATAATCATCAACAACCATCTGAAGTTCGATTATTGGTTCATCAAATATATTGTGGTGCAATTATTGGCAAGGGCGGTGAACGAATTAAAGAATTACGAGCTAAATATAATTTGGATATTAAAGTATTTTCAAGATGTTGTCCACTGAGTAATGAACGAGTAGTATCCGTGCGTGGAAAATCTGATGATATTATTGAATGTATTAAATATTTATTTGCACTAACGGAGTCATCGTCACAACAACAACAGCGAACTCCACCACCGATCAAATATTATGATCCACATAACTTTGATAATTATATAACAAATGAATATGGTAAGTCATTCTGAATATTATTTCAAAATAAATGAACACATGACTGTTCTCTACTACTGCATAAAATGGATTTTGTCTCTTTTAGGTGGTTTTCCATATAATGGGATCCCGTCTAATGGCTATAAAATGAATGTTGGTGGTCGTCCCTTTCGAGGTATGATGCCCATGGGACCGACAATGTACCAGTTACCACCATTACTCGATTATGGCCCAAGAAATTTTCGCCCAATAATTACATCAACACAAGTTTGTGCATTTTGATCACTTACATCTGTGAGAGATTTTCATATTCTACGTCTTACAGAAGAATAACTAGAAACGTTTTTTACTTAAGTCCATGATGCCTACATATAAAGACAGGTATTTTCAAACTTCTGACGTACATTAAAAACAGCATATCTTTATTTTAAAAGTTTAGTTCTTCAAAGATTAAATACCACGAGGTTCTAGACTTTGAATGTTGTTTTGAATAAATTATCCGTACATCGTGTATACAGTACAGCTTTGACCAGTCATTATTTCATAGAATACCGTGTAATGAGTTTTGGTTCAAATGTACGTTGGACACTAATTAAGAAACGTTTAAATCAGTTTTGAAAACAGAAAATGTTTTCATCTTATAAATATGATATAGCTCAGTTAAAATCTGGTCTATATTGCCGTATATCTGTGCACTTTTTCTAATAGGTGACGCTACCAAATGAGTTAGTTGGTGCAATTATGGGACCCCGTGGTCGAAAAATACAAGAAATTCGTCATCAGACAAATGCAAATATAATTGTTGATGATCAACAAGTAGGAAATGGCGATAATAGCAATGTTTTGAATAATACTGGTATAGGAGCAACAGATCGTATAATAACAATCGAAGGAACTCCAGATCAAATACATCGTGCACAAATGCTTTTACAACAAGCTGTTAGACAATCTGGGTTATGGCGATCATAGTCGAGTTTATTATGTTTCTTTGTTTTCTTTTGTTTTTCTTTCTTTTAGAACAAATTTGATGTCGTTGTAACATAGTTTCTACTTTGTTTGCTTTGTTTACTTATACACTTTTTTTCTGTAGGTTCATGCGAGTTCACAAAAACGCGTACGTCAAACACATGACGTTTTTTTTCTTGTATATTAGATGTTGTTATAAGATGAGTTTTTTTCTAATTCGACTTCGTCATTAACAATACAAATTACTATTGAGAAAATAATATAGCACTCTCAGTTATTTTTTTCTTGAATAACTGGAGAAGAAATTTTAAATATCTTGACCGACGTTTTTAAATTCAACGTTTAAATTAAATTAAACGTTCTAATACATAAACATCCACAACCAGTCTAAGGTAAGATGTGCAGAAAGCCTTCTCGAAAATTATGTTTTTACTCAAAAATTCCACAGTTTTGCTTTTCATATGATTAGGCAATCTAGAAAATCTTCTACTAGATCAAAATCATCGAACATGAAGGAATAAATTCAAGTCTAGACTTGATTCATTTTTTGAGGGTTGATACTTCGATCAAAATAATCAAAAGAAATTTTTTAAAGCTCTTTGTATATATTTTTCAATGAAAGTCGACATTTCTTGTACTTCACGTTCTGATCGACGTCTTTGTATACTGCAATGTTTTCGCATTTCGAAATGGAGGACCATACATTTAAGATCATACGGTAAATGCACTCTAACGTTAAAATCGTGAACTACAAAATTTAAATGGAAACTTTTGAAAAATGATGGACTATGCTGTTTAAGTCGATCAAGTTATTAAAACAAAGTTACTCATTAGATTAAATTAGAAAAACTATTAAAAAGTTCTTCAGAAATGACATCAATTTTTTTCCTCAAATGTACTGAGAGACAATGGATCAAATTAATTGAGAAATTGATGAGAAAAAAAGCTATTTCCTCAACAGATTTTAAATTTCTTTTTACTATTTTGTTTGTTTAGAAATGATCATTCACGTGAGAAAAAATGATCAAGCGGATACTGAGGTGTGCATTGAACAAGACCAAAACCAAAACCGACTATTTTGGGCTACATATGGAGAAAGGATCAACTTTTTCTGTCATTTATTTAAATTTATTCTAAAAGCTTTTTAGAGTTTCTTGTAGCCTGAAAAGCAAGTTTTCAGAATATATACTTTAAGTTTAAACAAAATAAGGTTTGGATCTGATTCTATCAAAAATATATGATTCGCTGAAATCTGGGTATTCTCCTGAAATTACAAAAAGTTTGTCTATACGTTGTTTTTTATTTTAATAAAACAATAAGCTTTTTTTTTCTCCTAATAATGCCGTTTACTAAAACCGATAGCACCAAAGGATTGGGTACTCTCTAAAAAAAAATAGGCAGTTCAAAAAAACCCGAACGGTTTTTTATTTTTGTTTCTAAACCCAAAAGAGTGTAGTAGTACATTTGAGAAACCATTTGAGGCTTTTGTATCGTTATTAAACCGTTTTGGTTTTTTAAAATACTTTTTGAAAAAGTATTTTAAGAAAATAAATTTTTCAATGTCACAAAGCCCTAAAGGTATTCTATTTTTATTGCCATATTGATTGACATATAAATACTTTTACTATTTTAAAGAACCAGAGGTTTTTGTGAGAAAAGTAAACGAGTCTTATAAGTACCAGAAATCCCTTGGGTTAAGTAAACATGATTTAGTTCTTGATTCGACGAATACTAAAAAGCCAAAAGGGTTTTTCATTATAATTAAGTCATTCATTATAAGTCAAATACCTCAATCATGGTTCGTGACTGTTCATAGCAGTCATTTAGAATATCACATTAGTACAACCTGAATAGTTCTCTTTTTCTGTTCTACACTTTAACTCTTTATTAGTCTATCTGCTTTTGCTTGTAATTTGCCAGACTCAAGAGCCATAAGAAATAGAAATCCTTTTGTGAAGTCTGCCTTACAGGAATAAAGCAAAGTCTTTTCCTGCTTCTCACTTTACCGCACATAAAGAAGGGAGTATTGTTGTTTCAGAGAAAGCTCCCTTAGCTCAATTTTTCTCTCATTATTATACCCATTCGTTTCCTTTCGCTATATAAGAACAGGATTGTTAAGGACGCAGAAATTGATGATTTTCATAGAAAAATTGAAACTGAGTTTCTTGCTCAGCTAGATAGGATGAAGTCTCCTCTTACAGAATATGTGTTGCTTTCCAGAAAAGAGCTAGTTTTTTATAAGGTTTTGAGATGTTTTCTGCTAGCCACCTCGGTTTTTAGCTAATTTTTAGCAATTTTTTCCGTGGATAAAATAACGTCATTTCAGTAGTGAAAATGTTTACTTAGTGTCCTATGCCGTAATCATGATATCTGATATTTCTGTCAGATATTCATCAGGTTTTCTAGCGGTCAAATAACCTCTGTGAGGATAAAAGACAGAAGGAGCTACCCTAGAAACGTTTAAGTCTCTTATCAATGCCTTACAAGATTCTTATCGGAATCTTATCAGTTTTATCAAAAAAGTCATGTCTACGGTAATCACATATCGAGTCTCTGACTCCACAAAACATATGTTTTAAAAAAGTTAAACGTAATTCAACCAATTATATCTGAATAGAAAAGCGCTTTCATTTTGCTTCATAAAAGAATACTAAAGAATGCTTGAGCAGCTGAAACATTTTTCTATCCGATGAGGCGTACACAAAAATTTTCTAAAAATATTTAAAAACCAGGATTTGGAGAAAACCCAAGGGTCTACTTTCAAGTATCCTAGCTTCAATTGGTAGTTTTGTGTTAATAGTTTAATTAGATAGAGTAAGCATTTCTGAAGAAAATAAGACGTCTCCGAGCTCTCCACAACATTTTTTCATCAAGGTGCATTATCTTTACGAAAAGCCCCCAAAGACATTTCTGCTACTTTTTTTGCAGATTTTTCTAGTTTTCTATCCGTCTGGTATTTTACCAATAAGTCTATTAAACTTAAAAAAACTGTTGTGGAGAGCTCGGCGATGTCTTATTTTCC